CATTTTGGCTCAAGACAGCTTCCGGCTCGGCAGACCCGCGGCACCCGCACCGCAGTGCAACTGGCCCACCTCCGAGCAAACTCGATGGGCGGTACACGCCTCGCGGCCCTGCTGCTCCTGCTCGGCGCGGTCCACAGCGGACGCGCGGAGGACTTAGCCGGTGACGGCTCCTCCGCGGCTACCGTGGCGGCGATGATGTTCCGCCGCCTGCAGTGGACCTGGGACGGAGCACCGCTTCGGAGCCTGGCGAACAGCACGACCCAGACCGTCGACAGCGCGACCGCTAACAAGACGAACGTGACGGACTCCCGGGGTGGCGCCGGGAACGGCGCACCGGAAGACGCCGAGCCGGACAGTTACAAGCCGGGTGAGCCGGGAGGAGCAGGAGCACCGTGCCGGATTGGCGTGGAGTGCGTGTCGGCGAGGTGCCAGCTGTACCAGTGCGCGGCGCCCGTCGACACCGAGGCCGTCGACTCTGCCACGGAGACCGCCGGGGAGATCGTCGCGAATATCTCCGCGAACATCACCGCGGCTAAGGAGAAGGCTGAGGCTTAGACGGTGTCTGAGAGGGCCGGGGGCCCCCTGAGCCTGCTGATGGGGCGCGGGGCGAGGCTGCCTCACGGAGTCCGGGGGCAGGCCGTCTCGAATACCCACTGGGCTCGTCGGAGCTGCGAGTTCCAGTGCGCTTTCCTGTGCGAGTTCCAGCGCGGGGCCGGAGAAAGTGTCAGTGTATAGAGTTCGGCTCCTTAATAATTTCAGCACGGCGCCATGTTCCAGTCGGTGCCAGCAATCCCAGGGCAGTTCGTGCCGCTGTCAGGCACGATCCAAAGAGGCCCGAGGGCTACGAAGAGAAGTGCGGCCTGTGGGCGAGGCAGAAAAAATAAAAACACATATATATATATATATGTATTTATGTATGTATAAACAAAAAAGAGAAGATCGATACGGCGCTGGCTGGTAAGGACTCGGATGAAGACATCTCCAGTTTTGTTTTTCGGGCTTTCTCCCATCCTCTCGGCAGCTGCGCGAGGGAGCGCTCCTGCAGGATCTTTCCCACTTGCCCTGGGGCGGACCAGGACCAGTGTCTGCCTTGCGGGGGACCGGGCGAGGGTGGGACACCTGCCGCGGATTAGCAGTATCCATGGGGCCCCTACAGGAGCGCACCAGGAGCTGCTACTTCCATCTGCCTTTGAGAGGGTCGCCGGTCATCGAGATCTCAATGATATTGGGACCGAAGGAGCGGAGCGATGGAGGCGGGAGACGGAAGGGCAATCATCCTATCGACGTCGGTTCTAAGCAGGCTATCCAGCTGCACCCAATTTACGAGGCCTCCTGAGAGGAAGTGTATCGGCTTGTGGCTTGCGCCACGGCCGCCTTTCGTGTTGCAGCCAATGTGCTGCATCTCGACGCCGACGTGCGTCTGCCTGAGGCCGAAAGCGAGCCACGTGCGCCTGCCGTGGCGCCCCAGGGTCACCGTTGGCAGCAGTCGTCAGATGTCTGGAAGTGTGCTGTCTGGCTAGGGTCCGCCCGCCAGAGGTACCTTCCCGACCCGCCAGATAGGGTCGGCCGCCCGACCCGCCTGTTCGGGTCCGCCCGTTCGGGTCCGCCGTCCGATTTAATGCCCCACCCGCTCGACCCGCCCGTTAGGGTCCGCCCGTCCGACTTACTTGCCTTACCCTGTCGAGTTTATCAGGGGCTGGCATGAAACAAACATCAAAGGTAGTACGGGGCCGAGCTCCAGAAGCCTTCGGAGGCATTTGGGGGCCCTCTGTGGAAATCTGGCGATTCACTTCTAGCTTCACTTCCAGAGACAGGGGGCTCCTGCCAGATGCGTCTGCGGATGAGGAGGAGGAGAGGGAGGAGGAGGAAGAGGAGGAGAAGGCGGAGGCGGAGGCGAAGGCGGAGGCGGAGGCGGAGGCGGAGGCGGAGGAGGAGGAGGAGGAGGAGGAGGAGGAGGAGGAGGAGGAGGAGGAGGAAGCATAACCCAAATCGAGCCGTCAGGTGATCGCGGCTCCCCAGTACGTGACCCCGCAGCCCGCCATGACGTACGCGGCGCCGCGTGGTGGTATGGGCGGTGGTATGGAGGCCTCCACGGGCCAGGAAGAGACCGGAAAACAACGGGAATGATGCTAACATTTCAAACCCCCATTCAACTTCTGACAGGAATATAACGAGCAATCGGGAACCATCAATAACTCGAAGGCCCTTGGAACTCTTGGAGACAGATGGAACATCGAAACAGTTGGAGAACTGTTGGAAGCTTCTCGAACCTAGACCCCGGATGTTTCGAGTCCGCGGGCCCCAGAGCTCTCGACCCCTTCCCCATGGCTGGTCTTTCAACTTCAGTAATGTTTGACGGTCCTGGGGCCTGAACGCGGCCCTTGGATTTTGACGATGGCGAAAACATGTCTGGAGGTTTTAGGACATTGGAGGTCGGGGATATCCCCTCAGGGCCTCAGGAGGCCACAATGACAACTTAACAGGGCCCATTGCGAGCGCTGTCTCTTCCTGAAACTTCCGAAGTCTATGGAAAATATCTCCGTGCCGCGCCCGAGCCAGGCCGAGCGCGACGACGACGGCGACGACCACGACGCTTACGTTGACGACGACGCCGGCGGCGGCGACGGCGGGCCGCGGCCTGTTTGCAAGGCCTCGGCGGGCATGCAGGCCCCCGCGGGCATGCAGTACGTGACGGAGCCGGTGGCAACCGGCGCGCCGCCGCCCGTCGAGCCCGTGCAGACGTACGAGGCACGCAGGGCTCATCTCGACTCCCCCGATTCGATTCGATTCGATTCGATTTCGATGGCTTCCGATTCCGATTCGATTCGATTTGGGATGTGGATTTGGATTCCGACTTCTCAGGTGAGCCTTACTGGCATGCCGATTGCCGCCGATTCGATTTCTCCTGACTTGGCTGCCGAATTCCGCCGATCCGCTTCATTTCGATCGTGGATCCGATGTAACGATCCGATTCAGGGCTCAGCTGCGCCCGCGTAGAAAACTTTGGGTCGGGACGCGCGTACACAAGCGTCCTGCGGTGTAAGCTCTGGCGGCCGTGGTGCGGTTGTGCCGTTGAGATAACAGCACCAATGCTGCAATCAGTTTGACCTATCAGTTCTAGTCGGACGTGCGCCTGTAAAGGTACATCATACTGCTAGTGTGTCCTTCTGATCCCCGTGGGGGTTCGAGGGTCGAGGATCGATGAAAGGAGGGAGTCCGAGGAGGCTTTTCGTTATTCCCGACCTCGGGAGGTCCGAACCGCTGGCCGAGTCTCGCGGAAAGGAGGAGGAGGAGAAGGGGGAGGTGGAGGAGGAGGAGGTTGATGATGAGGAGGAGGAGGAGGAGGAAAAGGAGGAGTAGGAGGAGAAGGAGGAGGAGGAGGAAAAAGAGGATGATGATGATGATGAGGAGGAGGAGGACATGAAGGAGGAGGTGGAGGATGAGGATATGGAGGAGGAGGAGGAGGTGGGGGAGGAGGAGGAGGAGGAGGAAGAGGAGGAGTAGGTAGGCCAAGTGGCCCTCCATCATAGACAACGCCCTCATCGAATACCCAGCCAAGATACTACAGGAGATCACCACGACCTCGGAGACATGCACAACGAGAATCGACGGAACCACCAACGTCCACACGAAGGCACACAAGAAGGATATCATCGTTCACCACGTCGAGTTTACCACAGATGGAGATGCATCACCAGAGATAAAACAGAGACCTGGTTACAAAGCACCAGTATACAAGCCACCCACAGAAATACTGCTAGGTGGCATCATGCTCATCAAGGTCAACGACATCGACAAGCTATCTGACCAGGACGCCCACAAAGCAATACAGTACCTCATTGCGGACGAAGACAACCACAGCACTCGCAACTTGCTCCAGTACCACAAGCAATTACGCAACGCTGGCTTTTCAACCCATCGACTGGACCCAGAGCTACTTCCCCGAGTGGAATGCTTCCTTTCCAGAAGTCCGACCACAACAAGCACTCCGACCAGCACGCACTATTCCAGCAAACACCGACCTGCAGCTCATACAAAGAAGGACAACACCACAGGTCCAACAAACCATCCTACCACCTATGCCGACGATCTTCCAGCTCATATACGACCAGAACGTGACGCCGACAAAGTACCAGCCGCCACCGCCACAGGGACCATCACCAGGCAGAGCCCCAATACAAACCACAACGACGACGCCGACTCCCCGATACTCCCGCCACGCCGTCGCTCCGCAAAGGTAAAAGCTAGGCGACATCCAGCGGCACGACCCCGAGCACTACGCAGTGCTCCCACCAGGATGGCAGGCCGTCGCCGACGTAAACAGGAGCTGCGCTTACTACCACTACATGCAGACAGGCGCCACTCAGTGGAAGTTCCCAGGTGACATCGACTACGACCTATGTTGCACCCGACAGCTAATGAGCCAGAACGTCGAGGCCTTCAGCATTAACAAGGACGGCTGCTTCTACCACAGCCTCAGGCCGATATTCCCACCTCCCAACGACCACCCCCCAATGCCAGAGCACCCCGTGAAACGAGAGCAGGTCGACAAAGCAATGACACAGACCATCCACGACCTACTCGTCAATCTGAGGACCAAATACCAACAGGAGCACGAAGCACACGAATGGGTCGACCGAGCACACCTGTGGTACAGCGACATTGCAGGCGGCACCTTCTTCTCTCACCTCAAGGTCAGAGTGGAATCCAGGCCTTTCCTCACATTCGGCAACAACATGCTAGTGGGCGCAACTATACTTGAGGGAGCTCCACACCCTCCACGAGTCAGCCACATCATCCACCGCATCAAGCAGCGACGCAGCCCCAGACCAATGCTTGCACCATACGGCGACCACAGCACTTTCGACAGCGAGATGCACATCGAGATACTACTGACTCGAGACGCGAGCACACACGAAGTCACCATGCACTAGAACGAAGACACGACAATGACTGAGGACAACAACATGGCGCACCTACCTAAGGACGAGCCACCTACGAACAACGCAGACATATCTACCAGCGCAACCCCATCAAACATAACACCAGTACCGACCCACAACCAGCAGCAACGACCAATCCAGCATAGCGGCACGACCCCAGCAGCCAAGCCTGCGATATTCAAGGCACCACCCACCCTACCGCCAGTCCGAGAAGAAGCAGCGTAACGTACACACGTGATCGACGACGAGGTCAAGACCGGACAGCAAGACCTTGACATACAGGAGCAGCACACAACCAACAGGGAACCCTGCCGCCCCAACCCTACGTCCAGCGACAGCACACCAGCACCGAGCGCCAACCAACCACCTGCCATAGAAGTCGTACCACAGAGGCCCAGTGGCTGGTTTCCCATCACCACGCATGAGAAGGTCGACCCCGACACAATCAACTTCCCGATGGAGGCAACCATACGCCATTCGTTCCACACCAAGTTGCAGGACTCTCTCGAACACGGCACAGTCACAGTGAACGAATGGGGGCGAGGTCACAATCATCAGCATGTCCTACAACAGCAATAACGGCCTATGGGCACGTGGCACCATCGCCCAGACCAATGCCATGCGGAACACCAAGCATCAGGCATCACCACCGAGTTCCAGTCCCAACGCAACGACGTCCAGGATAGGCGCGACATCTTGACGACAATGGTCGGCAAACAGCATGTCAGCTACAGGCCCTCAACATCCAGAAGGAGATCACCCTGGCCAGGGAACCCATATCCAAGCTCATCGACAGCCTTAAGGACTCCATCGGCAAACTACGCCCATGAACCTTGGCGATCGCCATCCTCACCACAACCACCGAACGCTGGACGACCGCACGAGGTGCCCACACGCCCGATGTCGTCACAGCCAACGAAAACGACCTTCCGACCTCCGACAAACGCTCCAAACACTCCATGAATTCCAACCTCCTGAACTTCATCCCCCTCGTCAGCAGCAACATCCTTGTGCTGGTGCACGACCACCTCTCCCTGAACCGCAACCTCCCCATCGCAAGCAACTACATCCTCGTCCTGAAATACCTTCATCTCTCCAACTACATCCTTGTCCAAAAATACTTCCACCTCTGAGGGGAAGGGAGGGATGGGATTGGTAGGGTTTGAGAGGAGTATCGAGGTGGAGTTAGAGGTTGCCGGGGGTGGGGGGTGGGGGTGGGGGTGGGGGGGGGGGGCGGTGCGGCGGCGGCCAGCACCTTCCCGCATTCCCTTCTCTCGTCCTCTCCTCCCTCGGCCATTCGCTTCGTCGTCCGTGTCCCTATTCGACCTCCCCTTTCGGTTCTCGTCCGTTTCTCCCCCCTCGTACCTCGGCGGCCCCACCGCCACAGACGGGCCCATTTTCCGCATTGGTCCTTCCTGCGGTGCCTTACGGCACCCGCAGGAGAGGGCCATTGGCAGCGCAAACATTCGAGCGAATGCCGCGAGCGAGCGAGCGAGGAGGCAGGCGGGAGGCAGGAGTGTAAACCCAAGAGGCATCAACGATGTTGGGATAAACCCTCCATCCAAGCTTCCTCTTCATAGGTCCCCCATACAATGTTCATTTCCACTGAGGGAACTGCCTCGTTGGAAGACAACCCTTTGCAGACCCTGAAGCATGCCACACATTGTTCCCGGGATTCCAACGCCACGGATCAACCTGATTGTTGCGTCTTGTCGATCCTGAATCGCGCCAGAAACTCCAACACCGCGAACCAACCTAACTGTTGCAGCCTCATTATCCTGAACCCTTTCAGAATTCAGGTTCTTCTACGCTGATCATGGGAACCCGTGGAATTCTTGCAAATGTTAAACGGCAATGTGCGCAGCGCGAAGGCGAGAGCCACATTTTGAAAACGGGTCACCCTCAATCCGTGAAGCGCTTGCAAATTTTCAAACGACGGTACGCGGCGTTAAGGCGAGAGGCACAATTTGAAAAGGGGTCGCCCTCAATCCGTGAAGTTCTTGCACATGTTAACAACCAACGTGCGTGGCGCTATGGCAAAAGCCACATTTTGAAAACAACCCGCGCTCCATGTGTGAAACCGTCGCCAATGTTTATGCTTCAGGGTCATAAATGGTGAGGAAGTCTCAAGCGAAACACTTGGCTCGCCCTAAACATTGCCTTCGGGTGCAACAGGGGAAATTATTTATGAGGAGAAGGAATGGAGGAGGAGGAGGAGGAGGAGGAGGAGGAGGAGGAGGAGGAGGAGGAGGAGGAGGAGGAGGAGGAGGAGGAGGAGGAGGAGGAGGAGCGAGTGGGGAGGATTTTTGTTTTACTTTTTTTTTTTTGTGTGTGTGTGTGTGTGCTGCTGCATTCTTCTGGCGGAGCCCTCCCACGCTCCGCTCCTCCGGGACGTCCGCGTACGGCTGCACATAGAAGACGGCCAGGCGGACCGCGAGGTGATCGTTTTCACGAGCTCGCAATCCAGCAGACGCGCTGCTCGAGCCAGGGCGGCCAGCACCGCAGGGCTCGTTTCGTTTCCTCCGATTCAACTCGATTTGTTTTCGATGGCTCCCGATTCCGATTCGATTCGACTCGGGGTTCCGATGCGGGTTCCGATTTCTCTCTGGAGGCATACCCTGCCGATGTCCGCCGATTCGACTTTTTCCGACTCGGCTGCCCATTTCCGCCGATCCGATTCATTTGGATCGCCGATCCGACTTATTGGTTCGATTCTGGGCTCTCTTGGCACCAGAGGCAGACGAGCATGCCGCAGTCCGGACCCTGTCAGTGTCAGCCATAACCGCCGAGCAGCCGTCGCAAGTGTGGCCCTCCAACTCCGCGATGAGTGCTGAATCGACGAGCTGGAACACATGGACCGAGGTGCTCGGGCACCGTATACCACCAGCCACGTTGGGGATACCAAGCGACGCGTCAACAGTGAAGTAGACCTTGTTACTGCCCAGGTCCTCGCACGGCTCACTAAGGTCTTCGTCTCCAGAGCGGTCCATGGATTTGCGATTGGAATATGCGTCGCCATCTGTGGGCCCCACATCTTCCTCCTCGCGACGCCCCGCTTCCTCAACGATAGGGGGGCTAGGATAGGAAGGAAGAGCTAGGGCCCCATAATGGCTCCCAGAGGCCCTGCAGCAGACTGGATGGGGGCCAGATCGGCAGGCCGCTCGGCTGACGGGACAGCACTTCCACCACAATCGCCATCACCGGCAGGCGGCGGCCGCAGCGGCACCTCGATGACGACGCACTTGGGGACTATGGCGGGCGGCACCTTCGTCTCCAGCATCGCCTCCAAACGGGTGGCGTGCCACGCCCCGACCCCCATCGGGAGCGGGGGCAATGCCAGCGCAGCCCCGCCAGGAGGGCACGGCAGGAGAACGCTATGCTCTGCGGTACCTGACGCTTGGTCTCCACGCGCACAGTCTCTGGGCCCATCTGCTGCCAGCTCTTCCGCCTCCGCAAGCAGCGGCCGAGCGGTGACGCCCGACCTTGGCCCACCAGCCGCAACAAAGATCTCCTCGTCAGGCGCCGACGAGAGTCCCTGTGGCGGGGCCACCGCGGCGTGCCAGGCCGCATTTCGGCGACGCCGAGCGCGGCCAGGAACGCGAAGGCCGGCGGCCAGCTCCGGGGCCGCCGCCAGCCGCCTGCGCGCGCAGGCTGGCCTCGCAGTCTGCCTGCCGGGCTGGCGAGCAACGCGGCGCGCGGCAGCGGGACCGGGGGCGCAGATCTCGGACGCCCGCTGCGAGCTGGGCAGCCACACGAGCGGGCCGCTCCCCTGAGCCGGAATGGCTACGGAGGAAAGATGGACGGGGAGGACGAGTAACCAGGGAGCAACCAATGGGCTTCTCGTGCCGTCCTCTGTGGCCCCTGGACTACAGAAGGAACACGGGCCTTGGCATGTCCAGGGCAGCACGCTTCGCGCAGGAGGAACACGAGCCTCCGCACCGAAGCGCCCCCTTTTGAGGACTAGCCCAGTCAGGCCTGCCAGTTTGGCGAGGGCCCTGCTTTGAAAAGGAACTGCCTTGCGTCTTGCTGGTGTGTAGACAGGACTGCCGCAAACCGTGATCATGCAGCTCAGCGAGGTGCCCAGCGAAGTCCCCTCTCGAAGAAGGACCGCCCCCCTATCCGTGTAACTGCTGCACGCGTGTGCACGCGTGGTTCTGAGCTCAGAGGGAACTCTCAGCGACAGCTTCATTTTGATTACGGTCCGCCCTGCGTCCGTGCAGCGCTACATGAAGTTGAAGTCTCCCGCGGGAGCCCTATTTTGAAACGAACGGTCCTCCATACTTCGAATTCGAAATTCTACGTACACGTTGTGCTCAAAGCGAGTGCGCGTGGCGTGGAGGGGAGAGCATCATAAAAAAAACGACATGTGCTCGATTCTGTTAACACTTGCAAGATGTTGAGACGAAAGCGCGCGGCGTCATGGCGGGAACCCCACTTTGAAAAGGAACCGCAATCCATCCTTGAAGCTTCTGCAAACACTGACGACGAATGTGCGCGGCTTTATAGCGGAAGCCACATTTTGAAAACGGTCCCCTTCCATCCCTGAGCCTGTTGCAAACTCTGAACACGAATGTGTGCGGCGCTACAGAGATCTACATTTTGAACGGCCCCCTCTGTCCCTGAAACTGTTGCAAACTTGAAAGACGAATGTGCGAGAGCCACATTTTGAAAACTGCCTCCCCTTCATCCTTCAAGGTGCCACAAAGTATGTACGCGGCGCCAGGGCGAGAGCCACATTCTGAAAACGACGCTTGGCCTGGCCTACTGACGCGTCTGAGGGTGCGTCAGGGAGGAGTAATTTTCAGGGAGAACGGATGGAGGAGGAAGGGGAGGAGGAGGAGGAGGAGGAGGAGGAGGAGGAGGAGGAGCAGCAGTAGGGAGGCAGGGAGGGAGGGAGGGAGGCAGGGAGGCAGGGGGGGAGGGGGGGAGGCAGGGAGGGCCTGGGCCGCTCCCTCGCGCAGGCCCCCGCGCCCGTCGTCACCCAGGGGCCCGTCACGGTGGCGCCCCCGGTGTACGTCGAGAGGGCCGCCGCGCCCCCGCCAGTGGAGCCGGTGCAGGCCGCCGCCGCCCTCTGTCGGATGTTGCTAGAAGTGCTCCTGCCCCAATGTGCCCCCAGGATTTCCAGGGAGGCCCCCTGCGGCCCCCGGAGCCCTCACCAGGCCAGGGGGGCCCCAGGGGCTCCAACACGGAGCGACAAGTGCCAGTGGAGCCGGTGCAGGCGGGGGCGCCGCCGCCCTCTGGGGCGCGCATGGCGGGGGTCAGCGCCGACGGTGGGGGTCGAAGCGGTTGTGCAGGACCACCTCGGGGGAGGGAAGGGTACGGATGCCGCTCCCCTGTCCTCGTTTTTGTTTTTGTCGGGGCCTCCTGGAAGGCCTCCGTCGCCACGGCTGGATTCTACTCGAAGTTCTGGTCGGAACACATCCTGGGAGAGGTCGGGGGAGTAGCGAAGTATTTGTATCTTTGGTTTCCCCAGAACCTCCCCATATTTTCTCCCCAGACTTCCTACCCCAGTTTTGGTCGTCCCTCCCCCCTCCTATGATTTTTTTAGTCGTGGCGTTTCCCCTTCATTTCAGCCCCAGGGGGCCACTTTCGGGCTCCAGAACCATCGAAAACGGGTCAGGGACGCATAATTACCCCCTGGGGGAAGGGGTGGGGAGTTTTGGTGCCGCGGATTGGGTCCTTGGTCTGCACTCGGCATCGCGTGTTGCACACCCCCAGCAGAGAGGTTCCTCTTGGGGAGCCCTTTTGCGGGCTTCTGGGTCCTGAGTCCAAGGTCCTCCTCTTCTGGCTGTCTCGATTCCCTTCTTTCTGGTGGGGTCGGTAGCTGCCGTGCTGTTCACTGGGCCCGTTTCTTCTTCTGGTGCGCTTCGGCTTTGGCTTCGGTTGCAGCTTGTGGTGCACTTCGAAGCGCCTTCGGGCCAGCTCACCCGAGTCGGTTTTCCGCTCGCACGGGTGCATCAGCTCGTGCATGTTCTGTCCAGGGTCTCAGAGGGGACATCCCATTCATTCGCTTCCAGTAGCCTGCGGTTGTAGCGGTCATTGCGCCAGTGCGGTTGCGCCCCCTCCCCCATCCCCTCGCAGCAGGGGTTCGGCCTTCGCGAGCCGCCTCCGCCTCGTTGCTGTGGTTGTTGTTGTCGTCGTCGTCGTTGTTGCTGTTGCTGTTGCTGTTGCTGTTGTTGTTGTTGTTGTTGTTGTTGTTGTTGTTGTTGTTGTTGTTGTTGTTGTTGGTGGTGGTGGTGGTGGTGGTGGTGGTGGTGGTGGTGTTGGTGTTGGTGCTGGTGTTGCTGTTGCTGTTGCTGTTGCTGTTGCTGTTGCTGTTGCTGTTGCTGTTGCTGTTGTTGTTGTTGTTGTTGTTGTTGTTGTTGTTGTTGTTGTTGTTGTTGTTGTTGTTGTTGTTGTTGTTGTTGTTGTTGTTGTTGTTGTTGTTGTTGAATTATCGTTATCGAAGAATGAGTACTATGGATCCCCTGACCATTGCGTTTTTCAATTGAAGTGCCTCCCCCGGGGCTCGCACCCGGTTTTCTATCGGGGAAAGTCACTGGGCTCAAACTGGGTTGGTGGCCACCGGAATACAACAACAACAACACCAACAACAACAACAACAACAACACCAACAACAACAACAACAACGGTTCCCACCCGATATTCCTTCACAATTTAGCCGAGACCCCCGCTCCCGCCTGAGACTTCCGCGCATTTTATTCAGGAGTCGCGATCTCGCTTGGGACGTCCTCGCGATTTATTCAGCTCTCTCGGCGCTCTGGAGTCGCGCTCTCGCTGGATACTCAAGAATCGCGCTCTTGTTTTGGAAATCCCCGCAAGTTGCTCAAGCGCCGCGCTCCCGACACTCAGGCACCCAGGAGTCTCGCTCACGCTCAGGACTCCCTCACAGCTTATTTTGGAATCGGGCCCTTCGTGGCCCCCTCGATGCCCTTCGTGGACCCGTTGCAGCCCTTCGTGGCCCCCTCGCTCCCCTTCGTGGCCCCGTTGCGGCCCTTCATGGCCCCCTCGATGCCCTTCGTGGACCCGTTGCTGCCCTTCGTGGCCCCCTCGCTGCCCTTCGTGGCCCCGTTGCAGCCCTTCGTGGCCCCTTCGCTGCCCTTCGGGGGGCCCCTTCGCAGCCGTTTGTGGTCCCCTCGCTGCCCTTCGTGGCTCCGTTGCACCCCTACGTGGCGTCCTCGCTGCCCTTCGTGGCCCCCTTGCAGCCCTTCGTGGCCCCCTCGCTGCCCTTCGTGGCCCCGTTGCACTCCTACGTGGCCCCTCCCCTCGCTGCCCTTCGTGGCCCCGTTGCCGCCCTTCGTGGCCCCGTCCTTGCCTTCTGCGGCCCAATATACGTATGCCCTTCGTGGCCCCCGCTCGTTCGCACCCGTCGTGGCCCCATATGCATGCCCTTCGTGGCCGCAACGGCCCCCCCCGATTGGCGCTCCTGGAGGACGAGGACATCGATGTGGGCATGGGTGGGGTGGGTGGGTGGGTGTGGGGGGGGCCTTTCAACTTCGAGGGGGACATCAGCGAGGGGGACAAGCTGGATATCGACAGGATGAAGCGCGAGTTCCTCGAGGCTGCGAGGGGCGCGGCAAAGCAGGCACTCGCGCAGGCGGCAGAGGCGCTCAAGCAGCAGCGACAGCAGGGGCAGGAGTTCATCGAGCGGATCCGCAAGAAGCGGAAGGTGGTCGGCGTGCCCGAGGCAGAACCAGTCGGAGCGGATGGAGGGAGCCGCGCGGGCGCGGCAAGCGGAGGCTCCCCTGCGGCGCCTTCAGACTGCGGCGCCCTCAGGCAGCGGCGCTCCGGAGGAGCTCACGGCGCGCGATGAAAAGCAGAAGCGCGAGCTCGCTGCGGCGGTCGAGGCCGCCAGAGTCGGCTCCAACGGCAAGAGAGGGAGCTCTTCCCGGCCCCGCCATCTTCTCGCAGGACCTGTCCACCTGGGGCCCCAGGCGGAAGAGGAAGATCGACGCTCTGAGCGACGACGTAATAATCTTCCCTGAGACGCGCGTCGGCGCTGACGGGCGAGCGACATCCTCGAGCACTTGGGCGTCGGGGGCTCGAGGCGGTGGTCGCGCCGTCGCAGGGTGACAGGCGGAGCGAGCTGGCAGGGGGCGTTGGCATGGCGGCGAGGGCGCACCTGGCAGCGACGTCGTTGCGGCGCGTAGCGGCCGAGAAGGAGCAGGCTGTCAAGCTGGGGGGGCTCGACGCGGACTGGTCGCCAGGGCCAGTGGGCTCTCAGGACATGGTGGCGCTCGACTGACGCTGGAGGGGCCAGTCGGCCTTCGCCGCGGGGGCGCGCCTGACGTCGTCGGTGGGCGCGCGCAGGGACAACCGGGCCAAGATGGCTCGGCTGGCGGCCATCGCCCGTGGACATAGAGGGCCGTGGGCAGCGACCGGAGACTGGAACGTGGGGCCGCGCGAGATCCAGAAGGCAGGGTGGTTGACGTTGCTAGGCGCACAGATCAGGGCGCCGCGGGGCGTCGGCTACGCGTGCGCGCGCCACCCCGCGCGCGTGCTGGGCCATGTCGTGTGCTCAGGGTCTTTCTTCATGTAACTGGATGAGGTGGATTCAGATCGGCGCGATCCTGGAGGCCACCGCGGAGTTCGGGTGCACCTCAGAGGCGATCCCGAGATCGCCATCCAGCGTAACCTCACGTTGGCGAAGCCCTTCCCGCTTCCCGACTTGCCCACGCGGAAGGCGGGCCCCGGCAGCAAGCGGTCAAGGAATAATGCGAAGGAGCTGCAGCAGGTCATGGGGGGAGGGGTATCCAGCGCGCAGCGGAGAACGCAGAGCCTCCGCAGTCGGACGAGAGACCCAAGGAGAAGCGGGACATCGTCATTTGCGAACCCTTCCCCGCGGGGTGCGAGGCGAGAGACGACTTCGAGGAGATCTTCGAGGAGAGCAGCGAGGATGACGGCGAGGTCAGCGACGATTTCGTGGAGGGGACGGAGAGCGAGCCGAAGCTGGGCGGGGGGCAGATCTCTGATATCGGCATCGAGGAGCGCAACAGGCTGTGGCTGTTGAAGTTCCAGGCAGCGACGGAGGAATATCGAACTGTCTGGCGCAAGCCGCCGCAGTGCGTGGAGCAGGCGGCAGCATTCCAGTTGTACTCGGGTGGCTCGCAGGAGTTGAACGCGCAGTGCGGCGCGTGGGTGCGCGCAGAGGAGCAGTGTTGCGTGGCCATGCTGGAGGCGCAGCCTGCCGAGAGGCGCAGCTATGTTGGCAGGGGCGACGAGGTGCGTTTCGTGAGGGGTACGGCGAAGCTCGGCAAGCGTCAATGTAGACCTGGACAGCTCGATCAGGCGGTGGGGCACGCTGGCGTCTTTCCCGGTAGAGCTGCAGCGGCGCGGCCACAAAGGGCCGCGCGCAGAGCGGCTGCGCGCCGGCTGCAAGACGCTCTGCGGCTCGATCCCGGGCGGCGGCGTCATTGAGATGACGGCCAAGCAGGAGCGGAAGTGGCGCGTGGCTTTGCGCGACGTCTCGGGCATGAGCCAGAAACAGCTCTAGGAGTAAGGCGTCGCGGCGCTCACTGCCGCGAAGAAGGGCAAGCGCGCGGGGGTCGGAGAGGCGTTGCTGGCGCGCGCCAACTGGGTCCAGGAGCATGGCGGAGGTGGCAAGCTGCGCCGCAAAACGAAGGGCAGGCCCAGGTGCGACATCGAGGTGCGCAGCGTTGGCATCACGGCGAAGGACATGGTGGAGTGCTTGGGCGCTGAGGGCAGGCAGTGGCGGCGGAAATGGCGGAGCTGCTTCAGCAGAGTTGACGCGTTGCGATGTCTCGAGCGCTCTTGGGGAGTGGCCAGCGAGGGGGGCTGGGCCCCCATCACCATCGAGGCTCTCGACAGCGCGATCGACACCATGGCGAAGTGCAAGGCCGAGTGGGTCGAGCAGATGGGAGCGCCTGCTTCGAAGTGGCTTCCACCTCAGGCGCTGGGGGGGCTCGGGTGCATCACCGAGGAGGTCGAGCGCGTCGGCGCGTGGCCGTGGCAGATGCTGGCCGCGCTGGTGAGCCTGCTGGGGAAAGAAGCTGGCGGGGATAGAGCGATCGGCTTGCCCCCCTGAGGTTGCGAAGCT